GCACTTTCCCCTTAGTTGCAGACTTCCTCACTTGGCTGACTATTCCATCCTTCAGGTCTTAATTCAGGCATCACTGCAATCAGTAAGACTTCCCTGACCTCTCATTCTGAGTCCAGGTGACTGTCTCTATCCTGCTCCTTAGCATCCTGTTCCTCATTAAGTAAGTACCCTGCTCAAATGAGCCTCCCAGTTATCTCTCCTTCTGGCACCTAAATAGTGCTTGGCACAGGTAGACACAACCCTGTGGAATGGATGGCTGCTTCCATAGGACCTTAGTCACCTTTGATCCTTCCTATTATGACACTTAACATATTATCATTCCCTCTTGTCTGTATTACCCACTAGATTGTGAGCTCCGTGACAAGACTTATCTAGTTCATGCACATTGTATCTCCAGTGCCTGACACATCATCAGGCTTCCATGAATATTCATTTAAAAATAAGCACGTATATAGCTATGCTATATGCATATACACAGCATACCTGCAGCAAACATAATCTTTGTTGGAGATGAGTGAGGAGAAATGATAGCAGGACTCTATACCTGTTATCAGTCTGTCTTTGCTACAGCAGCATCTATATGCAGAGTCAGCCAGAGAAACTTCTGATAGCAATTTCACTAAGTTTTATGTTGGCCTAAATTTTCAGTGAGTGAATTTAGAATTCATGTCAAACTTTGTAGGAGGTTAAATATAGTTTGCAGAGCAAGTTTGGAGAGGCCATTGAACATTTAAAGAGAGAGAAGATATGTTTGCAGTCTGGTGGCCAAACAGATGCAGTGATATAAAAAATATGCAGTAGGACAGCCTTTATTGATTTAGGTAGTTAACTAGAAATGAAGCTGAAGCTGGGCACAGCAACATGTGTCAGTAATACCAGCTACTCCAAATGCTGAGGCAGGTGGATCCAATTTCAAGTCCAGCCTCAGCAACTCAGTGAGACCCTTTCTCAAAATAAAAATTAAAAAGGAGTAGGATGTAACTTAAATACCCAGTATCACAAAAAGAAAAAAAAATGAGGTGGAGGTGCAACATTTAAGGGAAAAAAAAAAAAGACTTGCTACATGGGAAGTGCTCTTGGTGTTGAGCATCAAATGATTCTCATGAGGCCTTCTCTGCTCTGTGAAGGCTTCAGGATAAAGGTAGAAACTGGCTCTAGCCAAGAAGGGCCTTGGTCACTTCCATTTATTTTTTTTTTAAGGATCTCAATGTGAGATATATAGATAGATATTTTTAATGACAAGATGACAAAGCAAGTTCACAATTTTTAATATTTTTATTTAACAGTACACTTAACATAATTTACAGTGAATTTATGTATCAAGTTGAGCCACATGAAATTGTTTCCATTCAGCTATTTTTCAACTCAGCAGTGGAGGCTGAACATTAGGCTAAAAGAAACTAAGTTCTAAAGATGAGACATACATATGTATTAAGAACGAGGAGATGTCTGCCATACCTTTTAAGTTGTAATTTACAAGTACAAATACTGGAGGCTTCCCTATCTGTAGGTTCACAAGTCAAAGAAAATGCAGCAGTAACTGAAGCATAGTGGACCTGTAGAAAGATTAACTGATTTTCTCCCTTAATCAACAGATTATCTTTCTGCTGTTAAAGGTGAGAGGGTTCTGTTGCCCTCACTTTCCCCCACTTCAACAGTAGAAATAATGCAGATAATGTACCTCTTCCCTGCATAATTTCCTTTTTCAGCTTTCCCTCTCCCTGTGTTCTTCATGGCCCATCTCCTCTTGTGCCTCTGGAGTAAGTGAAGAAGCTTTTGCATTTTTCCACCCCCATATCAAATTTTTAACTTGAGGGCTGGGGATGTGGCTCAAGCGGTAGCGCGCTCGCCTGGCATGTGTGCGGCCCGGGTTCGATCCTCAGCACCACGTACAAACAAACATGTTGTGTCCGCCGAAAACTAAAAAAAATAAATAAATATTTAAAAAAAAAAATTTTAACTTGATCTTTGACTTTGAGAAGTTGTGAGATATACCTTGCTGCTTTCAATAAAGAAGATCATTTTGATAATACCAATGAGTTTAAGATTGTTAAATTCTTCACGCTCTCTCATCACTACAATGTGAGATGGATCCAAATATGTTGCAACAACGTGGCCTTGGGGCTGCACTTGGTTATGAAATGTTGTGGCAAACTCTCCTTGTATCGTAATGTTATTGGCTAAGAACTCTATGCTTAACCCTATCATCAAGCATTCTAAAATACTTTATCCTTGCTGTGCTCAAAGACTTTCAGAAATTTCTCCTTGATGGAGCATCTGAAATCTTCATAGAAGTATAGGCAAGACTCTTGGTAATTTCTTTTTTTCCCCAGATACAGTGTTTATTTAGTCATCTGAGTAGGGGCTGACCCCAGAGCTTCCCTAATTACAGTCAAGGGGTGGCAGGTGTTTAAATTGGCATCTGGCTGCAGTAGGTGGAAAGAAGAACATTGAGTTCCTTTCCACATAGAGTCATGTATAGTTTTTCAGCATAAGATGAAGTTTCAATAAGAAGGAAAATCTGGACTTTAGCTTTTCGGTTTTTCTCTGGATGTAGACTTTAGGGAATTTGTTCATATTGTAAAACCTCGTAGTATTCTTTTAGGAGCATGACTTTTAGTAACATCACTTCCTTTACCCTGCCTGCCTTTATCCTGGTTTGCATGCCTATCTTATCCTTGAACAGTTGCCAGGTCTTAACTAATTTTCAGAGCCCAATTTCATCACTTTCTCCACACAGTATCTAGCTAGTTTTTTGTATAGAATTGTGTCCAGTGACTATTTATTCAACTGTTAAAATTGCTTTGCTTTGGAGCTGTTTTAATCTGTCTACTGCCCAACTGGGTGTAGAAGACTTAAGTGTTTGCTACATTAGGAAGTTGTAAGAGACTTGAATTGGGGTGTACGCCCAGGTGTCAACCATTCCATTTTCTTTGGGAAATTCTAATACATAAGCATAGTACTCCACTGATCACATTGGTGTTCTGGGACCCTTCCCTACCTCTCAAACACATCTTACTATAGCTCATTGATCTAGGGATTACATCTAATTGGCTGGATGCCTCAAAATGTCACTTCCAGATATTTGAAACTTTAAGGAGAGTAGGTTTGATTTGAGTCCTATTTAAGACAGATCATGAAGGGAAATTCAGAGACTCATCACTTGTTCCCACTTCACCTGAGGTCCGTTCCTTCAGCTCTTTTTCAATTCTGTGAGCTTCCCCATCATCCTTCCAGGAAATCCCTTTTGTGCTCAAGCTGATTAAAGTCTACTTCTGTTGCACACATTCAGAGGATCTGAGCCAATGCAATGATTGAGAAGGTTGCAAAGAAAGCCTGTGAGGCTCCAAGGCCTGACATTGCCTTCAACTTGCCATGTGGCATACAATAGTCACTAACTTGTAATTCACATACTCATCTTCATTACCGGGGTTTTAAGACAATGCTTGTGAGAATACACTGAAGAATGGATAGAATTATAAAGTGCAGTAGTCGCAAAGGAAGTTTATTTGAAAATGAGGAAATATAGACATCGGAAAGCAGGGTCCTGTTTGGGGAACAGAGGACTACTTCTGGAGGATAGAGTTCCTTATATTAAAATATAGGTATTTATAATATTATATAACAAGGTCAACAGAGAGATGGCTGTTAATTTATACTCACAGATCCCAAGAGGAGGCATGACATATTGCAAGGGGCCACAGAGGGAAGCACTAATGAGACAAAAGGAGCAAAAGAAAATAAGGGCAGAAGCCTTGATGGTGATTTCTGTGGGAAGGATCAGACAAAGAGGAGTTAACAGTTCAGGATTGGCTAGTTTTGATGACTTCAACCAATTTAGGGGAATAGGGATTATCCCTAGTTACCTGTTAACTGGCCCTTGGATGATTAGAGCAGGGGACTAGTGACCATGGGTGCAAAGGACCCATAGATTAGGTGTTGGGGAAAGTGGGGTGGGTTGTTCTGCATTTGAAAGGTATGTCCAGGGCTAGCAGTTTACTATCTCTAAGCATTGGCTAGCCCTGGATGGGTGTGTTGGGGGCGGGGGGGGGGGGTTCCCTCCAGAGTCAATTCAGATGTCAAAGTATCAAAACATAAAAAGTTAAAATCATGGTTAATAAATCACATAAGATAGTTTCAGGAAAGAAGGAAGGAATTGGATGTAGATCATAAGGAGCTTGTGTTTCATTATGCAAATGATATTTTGCAGCAACCCAAAGGATTTTGAGCAGGGGAATGGTAAGAGTTATATATTAGGAATACTACCCTGATGTCTTTAGTCAGGAAAAGGTAGAATTTAAGGATCAGATCAGTGGGACCTATAATTAACTGGATATGGGGTTGATGGAAATGTGGGAATAAAAACTAACTTGAATGTTTTAAGCCTTTGTGACTGGAGGATGATACTGCTATTAATGTATGCAGGTGTCTGAGGAGAAGGCACTTCCAATATGAGTCTAAGAAGATAACTGGGCAGAAATGATGAACTGGGTTTCAGAAATGTTGATATGATCATATCTAACAGGCAGTTCTTGTTAATTGTTGCCTTGTGTGATATCTGGCATTTTGTGTTTTTGAATTCCCCAACTATGTCAGAAGAACCCTAAAGTACTTGTGTCTCTTCTTTGTCCCTCCCCAATATCTAACACAGACCCTCATTCCTCTGGTTCTTGTCCTTTTGGAGCTTAACCCAGGCTTTTATCATAGGGCACAGCCACCAAGACTTGACCATATGATGATGAAATAGTCTAGGCTCTCTTACTGCTTTAGCAGAGATCTAAAAGTACACAGGAGTACACACCCAGGACATGCATAAGAGATTTAATAAGCCATGATTACCTTATCAGTAAATAAAGGGGTGAGTGGGCTGGACTTCCTTCCTTTCTCTCCCTCCCTCCCCCCCTCCTCCCTCCTTCCCTCCCCCCCCCAGGGGCACTTTACCACTAAGCTACATCTCCAGACCTATTCTTATTATTTTTGTACCAGGAATAGAACCCAGGGGCACTTAATTACTGAGCTATATCCCCAACCTTTTTTTAAAAATTTTTTAAATTTTAAGACAGGGTCTTGCTAAGTTGCTGAGACTGGCTTTGAAATTGTGATGCTCCTGCTTCAGCCTCCTGAAGTTGCTGGAATTACAGGTATGTACCACTACATCTGGCAATAAAGGGCCTTTCTAAATGTTCTCTAAGAACATTTTCTGGTGCTAAGTTCTGTGAATCATTTTTGAGACTTTTTTATATTAAAAAGCTACCTAGTGGATCAGGGATAGTGTTTATCCTTGTTTTGTCAATCAACTTTAGGTCAGCCTCTTTGTCATAACTCCTACTAGACCTTGTTAATCTGAGAAGCAGTCAATTCTAAAGGTGTTAGAGCCTCCCTATTGCTTTCCCTGTTCTCTTATTCTTGGCTTCTCTTTATGCCCAAGGTAAGGACACTCCTCACACACACATAGTTGGTTCATCTGTAGGGGTGAAAGTGTTCTAATACATGCTTTAAATATAATGTGGATGTCAATCGACCAATGAACCAAATCTGGATTTCTCTGGAGTATTCTAATTCTACTACAAGAACATGGATGAGTGGGGTATCAGTGGTAAAAAAAGTAAACATGCATGCAAAATGCAAAAGGTCATGATGAAAAAGAAAACAGCCAGGAGAAAAGGAAGTCATAATTATTAAAGGTCTTTCATACATGGCTCTCTACTGGATTCCTTCAGTCCTCCCACAGGGCTTTAAACTTGCAAAAAGCAAAAGATTTATATTATCTGAAGAGAAACTAGAGTATGTGCCTTTTGAACTTGTAAATACATATACAATATGTCTCTTCCCATTAGATTGTATGCCCCCATGAAGACTGGGATTATACAATGTCTTTTTTTTTTAAAGAGAGAGAGAGAATTTTAATATTTATTTTTTAGTTTTCGGCAGACACAACATCTTTCTTTGTATGTGGTGCTGAGGATCGAACCCGGGCTGCACGCATGCCAGGCGAGTGCACTACCGCTTGAGCCACATCCCCAGCCCATACAATGTCTTTCTTGTTCATATTTCTATTCTGGTTCCTCACAGAGTTCTAGGCAAATAGTAGCTGCTGGGCAAATATTACATGAATGAGTGAATAAATACATTTAAACTTGATAGTGATGAAAAGTAATACTATTTCCATTTTACAGATGTTGAGGCATAGAGGGACTTAGTGACTCACCTCTGATCACATAGCTAAAAAGTTGAGGAATCTGAAGATTGAGGGTGGGTGCCTGAAGTTAGGCTCTTTCTATTTCCCTGAGCATGTCCCTCCTGAAAACTGCCCCAAGCAAGTGTCACAACCACATTCTATGTCTTTGTAACAGAAATGGACCACACCCTACTTGAAATAGTATCAGGGAATCATAGAATGGAAGAACAACTAAGAAACTGGAGAAGAGCTTGGGTTCAAGTAGTAGAAGTAAAAGTTGAGCAAAGCCCATACTGGGCATCCAAAAAGGAAAAGAAAAGCAAATGTCCATTGCAAGTTGTGGCATCCTAAGCCAGAAATGAGTCATCCCCTCAAGAGGCTATGCCCCTCTCCTCCCCCAGGAGGTCTTAATGGAGGAGAAGAGGGGCAGATGAAGCAGTCTATCACAATGCCATCTTTGAATGCCAGATGGACTTTTCTTTAGAAGTTTCTTGAGTGTTGAAAGTGAGAACTCACATGTCTCCCAATCCACCCCACACACTCCACCAGTCTGGTTTTTATTTTTATTTTTTTCTGTTGCTTCTGTTGTTGTTCACACTTTCCTGTAGGGTCATTTCAAATTCCTATTTCCTGATGACACAACATCCTTCTGTAATCAGCTGGCAGCGGGTACAGCCTGCGAAAACTTCAGGTAGCAGCCCTGCCTGGCACCATTTTCAGCAGCATCCTGTTCACAACTTTCCAGTTTGACTCCAAATGCCAATTTTGGTTTGTGAAAATTTCCATGGCCTCCTGCTAGGCTACTCTCTACATATTCCAGCTTATAGCACAGTGATCTCTTGGGCTGGGCCCCAGCCCCCATCCTGTGCTCTGTGCTATCATTACTTCACAGAGGACGTTTTTTTTTTTTTTTTGGTACTGGGGATTGAACTCAGGGACACTGGACCACTGAGTCACATCTCCAGCCCTATTTTTTATTTTATTTAGAGACGGGGTCTTGCTGAGTTGCTTAGCACCTCACTTTTGCTGAGGCTGGCTTTGAACTTGCGATCCTCCTGCCTCAACCTCCCGAGCCGCTGGGATTACAGGCACGCACCACCAAGCCCAGCCTGACACTTTTAACATTGGTAATGAGCAGTGACTTCAGACATAGCCCAACAACCCCACTTGGGAGGAGGGACATACTGGAGGAACCCAGAGAGGGTAAGGAACTCTGTTATAGTTATATGTTCCAATTGTGACAGAACCAGGACTTGGAAACCAAGGCTTTAAGTCCACTACCCCAGGCTTCTTCATGAAAAAAGGCTGCTAAATTAGGAAGGTGAGGTTCTTGCAATTCTGCTACAGTATGCCAAAGAGTCTACAATTCTAGAGTTACAAGGAGGCCCTGCATTTTCTGTTGGAATAATTGATTCAGGATTTTCCCTTAGCAGCCTCCTCTGTTGTCGGGCTCTGGGCTAAGCATTTACTGATCTTCAATGCTCCCTACTACTTTAGGGTTTACTATTAGCCTTATTACGCAACTATAGATCAACTTATGAACAATTGCAATTCAAATCTTAATATTGAATCTTCCAATCCATGAACTTGGCATAACACTCCATTTTTAAAAGATCTTTCAATTCTCTTTCAATGTGTTGGTCTTGTACTTCTTTTGTTAAAATTATTCACATATTTTTCTTGTTATTATGCATGGAAATATTTTCATAGCTTAGTCTTCCCATTGTTTTTTAATAGTGTATTCTGAAACTTTTCTAAACTTATCACTTCTAGTATATTCTCTCAGATTCCTTAGGCTTTTCTACATATAAGATCATGTTGCCGGCAAAGTAAGGAAAAGGATTACTTCTTCCCCTCCAATGTGCATGTCTTCAATGTCTTTTTCTTGCCCTGTGGTACTGGTTAGGATCTTGCATGTAAAGCTGAATAGCAGCAGTAAGAGTGAACATTCTTGTCCTTTTGACAGATCCTGGTTGCTGTCTTTTCAAAATGAATCTTGGTGACTCTTCCAGAAAGGAGGTAGTAAAGCCTTTCTGCTGAATTAAGGAGTATCTTCATCATCTCCTCCTGCCTTCTTGCCTTGAAGATGTATGAAATGTGGATTTCTCATAAAGGACAAATGACATCCATATTTCTCTCTCAAAGGTCCCTCTGGAACAGCTTCATCCTTTCAGCAGCAGAGGTTTAATATGTGAAAGGAGTTTAACACCTTTCTTTTTTGGCCCCCTCCAGGGATTCAGTGAGTATGTTAGTCAGCTTTCCATCACTATGACAAAATACATGAGAAAAATCAACTTAAAGGATAATGATTTTTTTTTTTTTTTTTGACTCATGGTTTCAGGAGTTTCAGTCCAAGGTCACTTGGCTGTGTTGTTTTGGGGTCTCTGGTAAGGCAGAACATGATGGTGGAAGGTCCTGGTAAAGGAAAGCTGTCATCTCATGGCGGCCAGACAACAAAAAGAAAAGGGACCCAGGGACAAGATGTAGCCTTCAAGGGTAGGCCCCCCAGTGACCTGCTTCTTCCAACTAGGCCCCTACTCCTGAAGTTCCCACTACTTCCCAATAGTGCCACCAGCTGGGTATCAAGCCTTCAACATATGAGCCTTTGGGGACATTCCAGATTCAAACTGTAACAGTGAAGGAAAAATGAAAATTATGGTGCTTAGAACTCTGATGCAAGATCTCGCTAAATTCCAGAAGGAACTAGGATGATGCTCACAAGAACCTGACAGCTGAGAGCCTCCTAGGCACTGCGGGATGCTCTGATGTGCTCCCTGCTATATTCCAGCTGCCTGTGCTTTCTTCTCTCCCATGCTCTTCAGAGCACCTACTAACTCCAAACAGACTGATCCCGCCAAAGCCCCTAAGCCCCATGCTCATCTTAGGGTCTCTGGTTATGCTATCCCTTCCCTCTTGGAATGCCTTCCCACTTTCTTCTGCTTGTCCCTTTCTTGAATCTTCTTCTAAAATCTGATCAATCTGGACCCCAGAAATTTCTTCATCTCTCCACATCTGTAGTCTGACTGCCACTCAACTTAGTACATGATTACAGCAGGTTTGTGCTGTGTAGCTCATAAAGTTTTTCCTAACCACTTGGATATAGGAAATTTCACATTTATTTTTGTCTGAATCATGATCTCTAGCTCAACCCACCAACACTGATGAGAAATCTAGAATCAGCAACTAAAAGGAATGTCTCCTTCTTTCTGAGGTTCTTGCAGTGGCTCTGGGGGCAGGTCTTCAGTATCCTTTATCGCTGATAAGTTAACTATTCACTATGTCCCAAGCCTCTTAGGCAGGTTTTGAGAGCACAGTGCAACCTTTCAGTAAATCCTTGTCAAGTTACTACCTCTAACTTGTTTTTGTGTACCCCACCCCACCCGACTCTGGCACAGAGAAGTCTCCCTGATCCCCTTGACACTCTACAGAAAACCTGAAGGTGACCACACAAGAGGACTAGCCTTGCCCACACAGTCACAGACATGGGTGGACCCATCACAGCTGGAGAGAGCAGGTGTGAAGTGAGTGACTAAGGGGGTGCAGCTGGAACATGTGGTCCCCAGGCCATGGGGGGCAGCCAGACCCCATTTAGGCACTTCCTCCCTTCCTGAGGTGGCCCTGAGGTCCCGGGCAACCCTACCCATGACCCTGGAGCCTGTCATTGTCTCATGGTTCAAGTTCTTTCTGCCTGGAGAGTGCGTGCCTGTTTGGCCACTTTGCCAGGGTTTCCATCACATGCTAAGGATCGTGAATTATAAAAGTCGCTTTTCTCCAGTCAATTTAAGCCAGTCTGGCATGAGTCCCTTATTCTCCTTTGTCAACGAGGCAAAGACTCAGTTGTTCATCCAGCTTTGTGTCTTGCAATGAAGCAACCCTTTCCCTGCCCTTCCTTTCTCCCTTAGAAGCCCTGATTCTGGCTTTTTCTTGACCCTGCTCTGAAGTGTGTGGAAAATCTGCTTCAGT